AATCCACTCTATCTCCTCTACTACCATCATTTCAAGGAAAAATATGAATTGTGTTTAAGGGGTTTTAAGAGTCTTCTAGACTTAATTAGTCTTCCACACATTTAAGAAATGGAAGTAGAGGCCTGGTGAAAATAAAAATCTAGAAAACAAATATGAAACTCTGAAGCCTCCTTGTCCTGTGCTGTATAGCTGCTGCACAGGCTTCTCAGGCACTCTACAGCTAGGTGGAGTTGATTAGTCTTGGAAAGATCATTTATAGAGCCATCTTAAACCTGTTCTTTAGTCCCTGTACACTGCCAATTCATAATAAATTTCAGCGAAGAAAAAGTCACTATTAAATATCTCTAAGTCAGTTTTAAAAAACAAATCTAATATTCAACCTCACAAGCACCTCTTTAGTATGTCCTATACCTACTGCTCTTACTACTAGCTTTTAATCAATTCTTTTAGAATAAAAACCAGTGATCCTTTATTTCAAGAATAATGTTCCTGTTTTTCCTTCAATAAATGTAATCTCACTGCTTAAAGGCAGCTAAATCTCTTTTTGAACTGAAGTGTCAGATAGTGACATGATTATTTATAGGTTCTCTGCATGAATGCTTGACATTTTTTTCCAAGTCAACAAATATTTCAAGTCAACAACAAAAAAGGTCTATTAATTGAAAAGCATCTGACTGGAACTGAACTCTCTGAATAGAATGATCTTGTTTTTCTCAATGGCATAGTATATAAAAAGAAGCATAAAATTAACATTATTAAGTGTTCCTAATAGAGATGATTAAAATAAATGGTGAGATAATCATTTATTTTAATGAGCTACTGGTGATAGAAAATAACTTTGTGAAGAAACTCAGTAACAATAGCTAGTAATAAACCATCAAAATGTTTTTGCTTATCCTTATGAATTAAATTATGTCTTCACTGTGCATGTTTTCCTTCAGATATAGAATTCCATCAATTCCCATTTGTTATGAAGCTTAATTCCTGCTATACTGGGATTTTTTACTAGAAAAGAACTCCCCTCATTCTTTATTTCCCAAACAGTGCAAAAAGAAAATTGTGATTATGTCAACTGATTCTGAGTATATTGTGACAATTAATATGTCCGTACCATATCAGTGATTTTTCATCAGTGGACTAACATGATCTTTTTTGAACGCTACCACATGAACATTATTTATGTAAGCCTTGTTTTTCATGATTCAAAATAGATTATTATTGCTCAAAGATCTTTTTAGTTCATTTAGTTGTCTGTCCATTAAATCCTATGTTGCATATTTTCTTCATATTTTTCAAGTCTCCAATTCCAAACTGGCTATTTTTTCTAAAGACAGAGAATTTTATACATACTACCATTATTTTTTAAAACTATTAAAATATAAGCTCCTTATGTTTACTACCCTTCTCTTCATCTCAAAATATTTCTTTGTTATTACTCAACATCTTATCCTTCCCTCATTTTTACAGATATTAATTTCTCCTTGCCAGTGCTAACTTTCCTCCACTGCTTCCTTCCCCTCTGCTTTCAAGTACCTACATGTTTTCCCTTGATTCTGATCCATTCAACTAGCCACTTATTAATACTGTATTCATCAAAGTGCTCCAAATCCTTCAAAGTTCCCAAAAAGTCTCTAGATTATTGTAATATTTTGTCAAGGCATTCATAATCTTGACCAAGTTGACTCTAAATGACTACTCCCCAGAACAAAATCTTTGCTTTTGTTTGATTGATATGGTTTTTGTTTTGTTTTAGTTGATTGACTTTGCTTTGGTTTGTTTGATTGAAGGCTAATTGGCTTATCCTTTCCAAATGTTTCAATCATTGCATTCCCTGATTTTTGACAATGCTGTGAATTTCACTTAAAATTCCTTTTTCTTATTCCATGCTCATGGATTGGAAGAATCAATATTGTTAAAATGTCCATGCAATCTAAAATGCCCAAAGCAATCTAGAGATTCAATGTAATTCCCATCAAAATACCGATGACACTCTTCACAGAAATAGAAAAAATAATGCTAAAATTTATATGGAACCACAAAAGAGCCAGAATAGCCAAAGCCATTATTTTTGTTCTAAAAATAACAAAACTGGAGAAATCACATTACCCGACTTCAAATTATACTACAGAGCTGTAGTAACCAAAACAGCATGGTATTGGCATAAAAACAGAAACACAGACCATTGGGACAAATAGAGAGCCTAGAAATAAGTCCAAACATTTACAGTCAACTTATCTTTGACAAAGGTGCTGAGAATATACAGTGGGGAAAAGACAGTCTCTTCAATAAATGGTGCTGGGAAAACTGGATATCTATATGCGGAAGTATGAAACTAGACCCTTATCTCTCACCATACACAAAAATCAAATCAAAGTGGATTGAAGACTTAAATCTAAGACCCAAAACTCTGAAAATACTAAAAGAAAACAATGGGGAAATTCTTTAGGACATTGGTCTGGGCAAGAACTTATTGAGTAATACCTCCAAAGCACAGGCAACCAAAGCAAAATTGGATAAATGGAACTGCATCAAGCTAAAAAGCTTCTGCACGAAGATGTGGAAACAACCCAAGTGCCCATCAATACATGACTGGATTAATAAAATGTGGTATACGTATAACATGGAGTACTACTCTGCCATAAAAAAAATGGTGAACTAATACCTCTTAATACCTCCTGTACTAACCTGGATGGAACTGGAGACCATTCTTCTAAGTGAAGTATCACAAAAATGGAAAAAAAAAAACACCTAGGTACTCAGCATTAAATTGGAATTAATCTATCAACACTTATGTGCACATATGGAAATGACATTCATTGGAAATCAAGCAGGTGGGAGGGGGAAGGAGAGGATGGGTAAATTCGCACCTAATGTGTACAATGCACGCTATCTGGGGGATGGGCAAACTTATAACTTAAACTCAAATGGTACAAAAGAAATTTAAATAACCAAAACATTTGTACCTTCATAATATTCTGAAATAAAAAATAAAATAAAATAAAATAAGAAGCTTCTGCACAGCAAACAAACAATAAAGTAAAGAGACAACCCACAGAATAGGAGAAAATATTTGGAAATCACCCATCTGAGAAGGGATTAATAACTAGAATATATAAATAGCTCTAACAGATCAATAGGAAAAAAATCAAATAATCTGATTTTAAAAGGAGCTAAAGATCCGAATAGACCTTTCTCAAAAGAACACATACAAATGGCCAACCAGGTATATGAAAAAATGATCAACATCATTAGTCATTAGAGAAATACAAATCAAAACTACAATGAGATATCATCTCACCCCAGTTAAAATGGCTTTTATCAAAAAGAAAGACAGGCAATAATGAATGGTGGCAAGAATGTGGAGAAAGGGGAACCCTTGTACACTGTTGGTGGGAATGTAATTTAGTGTAACTATTGTGGAGAACAGTATGGAAGTTTCTCAAAAAACTGAAAATAGAACTACCATATGATCCAGCAATCCACTGGGTATGTATCCAAAGGAGGGGAAGACAGTATATTAAAAAGATATCTGCTTTCACAGATTTATTGCAGCACTAGTCATAATAGCCAAGATTTGGAATCAACCTAAGTGTCTATCAATAGATGAATGAATAAAGAAATTGTGGTGTATACATACAATGGAATATCATATAGCCACAAAAAAAATGAAATCCTGCCACTTGCAACATGAATGGAACTGGAGAACATTGTGTTAAGTGAAATAAGCCAAGCACAGAAAGACAAATCCTACAGGTTCTCACTCATATGTGGGAACTAAATATTAAAAACATTTGATCTCATAGAGACAGAGAGTAGAAAGACAGTTACCAGAGGCTGGGAAGAGTAGTGCAAAATTATAGTTAGATGGTTAGATAGAATGAAGAATATTTGATAGCACAACAAAGTGAGTATAATCAAAAACAAGTTAGGGTATACTTTAAAATATCTAAGAGTGGAATTGGAATGTTTCTAACATAAAAAAATGATAACTGCCTGAGCTGATGGACACCCCAATTACTTTAATTTGATTAATTCACATTATATGCCTATATCATTATATGTACTCTATAAAGATATACAACTATTTTATACCCATAATAATTTAAAAGAAAAAAAAATCCTACTTGTTTTTTCATTTGCCTGATTTCCAAGGTTCAGCTCAAATTCTATCTTTTCTGTTAATTTTCTCTTCTATCCCTAGATTATATTAAATCTAGCTTTTTGTGATTTACTGTAGATTTTACAATTCGACTTCCTGTTTATCCCCTAATTATAAAAATATGTAAATTTACATTTGTATTCATGTTTATGCCTGAATTCTTTCCTTCAAACAACAACTTAAATGACTAAGAAACAAGCCAACATTTAATGAGCATCCACTTGTCAGTCACTCTGGTGGGTCAAGAGAATATAAGAATCAGTAATATTTCTTTTTATCTACTCAGAACTCTTAATACAATGCATCTCTTAGATAATAAAAAGTACTTATTGAAAAGATAAGTAAAGTATCACAAACACACCTGCTATTAAAAGCGACCACTATTCCAAAGAGGCCGTGGAGTTACTATATATACAGATAGATCACACAGAAGGTCATGCAAGAACTGAAAGATTTGTGTGATCTAGATCTCAAGTGTTGATTATTTTGAGAGTCAAAGCAACCACAAATTTTAAAATCATATTTTCTAAGAAACGCATTTTAGCATTCCCACTATTGCCAGTACATGTGACAAGTAGGCAGAAACCTATGATTTGCAAGCATGGTGAAAAATATATTATTAATAATTACTGATATCCAAGGTATTCTGATTCCAAAAATGTACCTTACAAGAAGAAAATGTAGATATCAAAACTATACAAGTAAAAAAAGAAAACAGAACAACAGTTTGAAACACATACACACATCTCTATATATGCTGGTAGTTACATTACTGAAACACATTCAAATTATGTTACATTATTTTCAAGGCATATATCTTAAAACTCTATGTTCTACATACCTGTCCAGTCTCCTACTACTTTAAGATGAACCCCAAATGTTGCTTTGGTTTCAGTAGGACACTAAAATAAACAAAGAAATACTAGAATCAATTCTGATTAATAATTATGTATTAACAGACTATGATTCCATAACAACTTTTTTTCTTAGAGTAAGGCCCCCAAGTCAATAGATAATAGGAAAGAACCAACTAAAATCGATATAGATGCTCATTAGTGGAAGAAAAAAGCAAGGTCAACAGTCAATAAGACAATCTACATTTCTCTAAAAACACATAAATATTTATATAAAACAATAAATTACACACAATCTAAAATTGCTATGCTGCATTTAGCTACGAATTTTGCTAAAACATCTTCTGAGTTAAAATACATAAGAGGAGCCAGCTATTAATCACGAAAAGAAATGAAAACTAATGATTTTTGTCTTTTTCTCCCTAGATCTTATTATGTATTTCACATCCTAACAAATTCCAGGGAGAAAAAAGTTACCAATGTGACATGAATTTTCCATGCCCAACAATTATGTTCCTACGGAAATAATTCTATTTTATTCCCTCCCTTAATTCTCAGAAGAAATTTGGAATGCAATGGGGAAGCTACCTGGGGAAGGAGATGACTTGTGGGACTGGAGGTAAGAAAAAGTATCTGTGGTTTCATGTTTAGGAAATCTAGAAAATACCCAGGTAGTCAAAATGAAAATAAATTTTAGTTTACAATAAGAAAAATAAAGAATTTCCTCCAATATTGCAGATTCCTAATCCCTCATTCACAATTCCAAAATTCAAAAATTTTGAAAATGAGTTTCGTCATAATTCATTTGGTAGCATTATTTGACCTGAATTGATGGGAGGCTAATGATGTGAAGCTAATACTTCTGTATAAAAATTCATGCAGAAGTATCATCCTACAGAATTATCAATTGGTCTAAGAATGTTGACTCACATCCTATTGGAGACATGAAGTAATGTATGGAAAATGCATACTTTTTAAAGTCTGTAAGTTCTGAATTCTGAAAATACATCTTAACCCAAAGGATATGGATCAAAGATCATCTGCTTGTGACTACCCAGCATTTATCAAGTACCGTGTGCCAAGGGCAGTGCTAAGTACTTCATTTCTAAAATCTCACAATAACCTCACAGGGCTGTTTCTTATGGAGAAAGAAATTAAGTAACTGAGTCTTAAAGACTTGCCCATGACCATACAGCTAGTAAAAAGATAGGAAAAAATTTGGATCCAGGTTTGTTAGTTCTTAACTATGGCAAGTCACTGTCTTCAGCAAAGCAAAGAAACAGACAATGGGTGAGGGTTGCTTAAGAAATCAAATGAAATAGGAGGAAAGTAGGCATTTGTTCAAGATTAGTAGAATTTTTTAAATGCAACAATATGAATTATGGGGAAATATGGGCTGAAGTTAAGGCACAAAGAAAAGAAAACAGCAGTGGTTTGGAGGGCCCCATGATTAGAGATTGGGTTACATAAAGCAAATCTAAGACCTCAGAACTCACTGTGTTGATCAATTAATACATGTCATGTAAGGATGCTATAAGGAGAGGAAGGAAAGGAAGATAAAGAAACCACGGAGGTATGTTACCAACTCATCAGTCAAAAGGGAAAAGTAGCTTGAAAATCAGTGAAAACATTAAATAAAAAGGCAGGTATCAATTGTTTGTTCACAATAAGTTGTAAACGAACTAAAGTCATGTGATTTATGTTCAGGAATTGGAATTAAGGTAACATGGAATTTGCAAACTACCATTCTGCAATCAGTCTTTCTTATAGGATTGTTACTGCTAACGATAGTATAAAGTATTACAATACATTGAAATCTTTTAAAATTATATTGTTGAAACATTATTTATACTATTAAAATGACATTATTTCATTTATAGTTGTGATTCTGTATTTATTCATTTACATTTTAGTTTTTAATAACCCTGAGAACAACCAATATTGTCATTAGTAAATCTCCAAATAAGATGATATTACCTGTAAAAACCACCAACCATTTTTACTTCATACTACTTAAGGCTGGTCAGGGCCTCTGTGTAATAAAAACTGTAGTTCTCAGAAAGCAAGACACCCAACAAAGTTCCCAGCTACCAGTCTGATCATCCACATGCTGTGTGATGTCCTTCGCTGGAACTATTAATAGATCTATTTCACTAGTTATGACAAGATGATCTATGCCAAGAAGATATCAGGATGGGAAGCAAATAAGTTTGTCCTTGGGTGCCTCAGTGTGCATTTGGCTTGATAAATCTCATAATGAATTCTAAAAGAAAATGTATATTTCACCAAATACTAATATCTCTATTCTATTCTTTCAGGACAGACATTGTAAAGTTATTACACATGATGTTCCTTGGGTTCCATAGGAGACCGGAAACATTTTTCTTATGAGTGCTAGTCAAATGTATCACTAGAGCTTCAAAGGCTGGTTTGGTTTTTAATGGATAAAACATAATATTGTTTCTCTCAACCTCTTGGGAATGATACCTTCATAAGTCACTGATACTTTCCCAAACTAGCTAGGATTTCACACAACAGACTTTTTAACATGCTCTTTACCTGAGCATATCACCTCATATTTGAAGAGGGCCTTCACTGAATAACATACAGAATGGCTTCAGCATACATAATTTGAAAAAGTGAATGAAGATCTTAGATTCACATTTTAGTATCTTTGCACAAATAATATTGAGATTCACTAAAATTGCCTAAGGCAGAATATAGGAATTCCTTAACGTTTTCTCACTTTTTTTTTTTTATTTCAGCAAATTATGAGTGTACAGATGTTTAGGTTACGTGTGTTGCCCTTGGTTCCCCGCCCCCAAGTCCGTTTCTCACTGTCTTTTTAATAGTTTCAGAAAATTTCTCAAAGGAAAGAAATAATAAAAGTATCAATATCTCTATCTATATTGTTTCTCCTAGAACATAATAAAAAATAGACTTATGACAATTTTAAGCTAAAAATGTTACAGAATAATATGTAGTTAAGTTGAAATTAAAATAAAAAGACAGTAGTGCTTTTCTCCATGTATAGAAAAAAACTGAAGAGACTATATAATAAGCTATTAGGAATATTAACTCTTGGGAAGTAAAATTGAAGACAGAGAAAATGAGGATTCTCATAATTATTTCATACACATATATTTTTAAATTTGTTATAAGCCTTTGCTATGTTTATAATTTTTAAAATATTTTAAAAGTATAATTTAACTGTAAACATTAAAATATTGCTGAATCTTACTTTAATTTGCTAGATGTAAAGAATGGATTTTGGTTCACGTTGACCTTACTATAAATACCAGAACACATATCACCAAACTTTAAGAATAAAAAAAATAAAAAGTGACAGAATTTGAATATAATAATAGATCTGGAGGAATGTGTACTTTGATGTCATGGAGAAAAAATAAGCTTTTCCTTTCAATTATTTTTTTCAATATAGAACTGGGTTTTAAATTTGCACAAACAACGAATGATTGTATAACAGTCCCACAAAAATGTATCTCGGGAACAGAAAAACAAATACCACATGTACTCACTTATAAGTGGGAGCTAAACAATGGATATACATGGTCATACACAGTGGTATAACAGTCCCCAACCCCTGGGCCAGGGCCCAGTACCGGTCAGTGGCCTATTAGGAAACGGCCACGTATCACCTCCTGAGCTCCACATTGCCCTTCCCCGACCCAAGACACCCCAGTCCCCCCCCCTCAGTCCGTGGAAAAATTGTCTTCCATAAAACTGGTCTTTTGTGCTGAAAAGGTTGGGAGGGAGAGGGCAGAAAATGAGTGAAGGATCAAAAGTTACCTACCTATTGGGTGCAATGTACACTATTCGGGTGACAGGTACAGTAAAAGCCCTGACTTCACCACTGTACAATTCATCCATGTACCAAAAAAATCACTTGTACCCCCTAAATCTATTCAAATAAAAAAAATAAAAAAGTATAAAAAGACATTGTGTGACTCATGTTTAGGAACTAAATGTAAAAATGATGTTGCTGCACAAGTATTTATTCAACACAGAAAAGAAATTTAAAAGCTTCAGTGTTTTTTTTGTTTTTAAATTAAGAGCCATGCAATAATAAAGACAAGTGATTAAAAAATAGAAACATCTAAATTTTCAGTGTAACTAAATTTGTTAAACCTGAGAATATGATCACAGAATATGATGTTCTTTAATTATTTTGTCAGGTCATTATTTCGACCCCTTCTTCCCAAGCTCTAGTTTCACATATTCTACTGTCTGCTAAACATTTCTACTTAAAAATAACTCTAAATTTAATATATCTAAAATTGCTGTTATCTTAGTTCCCAAATTATCTTCTCTTTCTGATTCTCCTATATCTGGAAATGGAACCTACATCTATCTCAAAACAGAGGCTCAAATCTCAGAGTAATATCACTTTTTTATTTCTCAAATTATCTTCTCCTTCTGATTTTCCTATATCTGGGAATGGAACCTACTTCCATCTCAGAACAGAGGCTCAAATCTCAGAGTAACATCTCCTATTTCTCTTGCAGCCAGCATTCAATCAATTTTAAATTCTTTTCAAATAGTCTTGCCAAGAAAAACATCTGATTACAGCAATCTCCAACTCATTAACCTTTTGTGTCTCCCTATGGAAAAACACCCATATTCTTTCTGTCTCGTGGCCTATGGCCAACCACAACTGTTCCAAATTCTTTCCAGCTTTATAATCCATGTTTTTCCTTAATTCACTCTAATGCAGCTAAATCAACACTTACCAACTAATACATTTTCCTGTCCCTTCATCTCTCCACTTACTAGACTACTCATTTGGAATGACATTATTTCCAATTCATGTTGAACCCTAGCAAGTTTTCAAGGCTTATCTCAAATGCCACCATTTCATAAAGACATCCTGATGTTCCCTGCCAAGAAAATTTTTCATTTCCCTGACCCCTCAAATTATTTGTATGACTTTTATACCCCTTATTAAAGTCTACCTCTTTATTTTTGTTTAATTTTTTTCTGTATTAATAAACTGTAAATGTTTTGAGATCAAGAAATATTTCTAAATT